ATCCCACCTAAAACTACTTGTCGACCCCTGTTCTACACCAAGGCGTCAGCGGTATGAAATTACTTAACAATATCTAGAAACTTTATTGCAAAAAGATTTGAGTGACTTTGTCTCCGGAAATTCTCTAAAGCTGTTCAGAAAATTCGATTTGCCATGCGATTTTTTGAAGGATGGTGCTTTAATATGGTGCAAAAATAATTCACATAAGGAATGTATAGAAGAACATTTCAATGCATTAAAAAACATCAATGATGAAACTAAACAAGGGGTCGCTTTGATTAAGGAATACAATTACCTCACTAAAGATGAGGAACAACTGCAATTTGTTATAAAACCACTTATCTGTCAGTATTGATCATAAAAACTTAGAAACACGAATAACTCTTCAAGCTATGTAGGTATAAAATTTCAGTTTTTTTCGAGCGAAAATTATATGAGAATATTTTTTTGAAAGAAATTCCAGCAATATTTGTAGGCAAAATATAACAGTATTATTTTTTAACTCTGAGAACTTAGAAATTAATTTTCAGTTCGTTTTAAAACTTTTAACTTTCAAAATTTAAGACTATTATAAAGAAAACGGCTAAATTGGGAATGAATTCAAGTTTGANAAGTTTTGAACAAAGTAGTGAATACAAAATCATGTGAGGAGGAATGTGAAAAATGTCATGCCTTATTCTTTCTTGACATTCTTCGATATTTGGCGGCCTATTTTTGTAGACAAAATTTTTTATGTGACCCCATGGGAAAAAGTCAAGTGGGGTCACGTCGGAAGACCAAGCTGGCCATTCAATTGCTCTCCTGCGTCCAATCCATTTATCAGGAAATGTTTTATCTATATATGCTCGGGCATTTTCAAACTTACAAAATGAGTATAATATATATACAATAAGTATAAGTTTGAAAATGTCCGTATAGGACGAAACTGCAGTAACGTTAGTTACAAATAAAAGTGGTATAAACATAGAAAGTTCCATTTCTCTTCTCTTCATTATCCATAATAACTTCACAGAACTCGATTCTACGATCAAAATCTTCTTCATTAAATTCTTGTACCATATGAATTATATATGGATGGAATTTTTGCAGTTTACAAATTTTTTGAATGAAATATCGACTCATGTTATGATTCAAAGCCCTCTGTGTTGCCGAATTTATTGGATTTTCCACCATATCTAAGATGACATTTATAGAAATTTCTTCATTTGTAACGCTTACTGATCTTCCACTTTTTGGTCGATCTTTGACACTTCCAGTTTCATGAAAACTGGAAGAAATGGTTTCCCGATTGGCATGCAATCCATTAAAAATATCCACAAGTTGGTCACAACTTTACCGTATTCTATGATAATTCAAATTTCAATACGCTCAGTATCAGTTAAATATACCATTTTTGCGCGAAAATTATTTACACTAAATGTATTTTTGACATGTGTTGTCAAGATCATCACTTTTAGACAAAGAATGACGCGGTTTTGTTATGGAGCTGGAAACTTTCAATATGAAACTTGCTGGACTATGAACTTAATGGACTAAAACATTTTTGGATAATTTATTACAAAGTTATTTTCAAAATTTGATATCTCGAAAATGGTTGAATTTAGGAAATGATGTACTACATCAATTTTGTTAAGAATTTCAAACAGAATTGAAATATGGAATAAAATATAGGGTGTTCCAATAAAGAAAAAGCAACTTTATTCCTCCAACTTTTTGACCGATCATACTTAATTTTTCCGCCACACGTACCTATGATTTTGTAGGTATGTGTGACAGAAAGCTGAAAAACCATCAGACATCTGTGCAATGTCTTTCAATTGAAAATTCGTCGCAAGTAACTTTCTATGTATGAAAAGCTGAAATTAATTTCATTCAGTTGGAACGACCACCGATATACTCTTACCTAGAACTGTGAAATTAATAGGAGAAAGATATTTGCATACATTGAACAACGATTATCTAATATTTCTGATTCATTGAAACATTTTTTGTCTCATATTGCTCATTGGCAAAATGCATAATTCTGTATGTCATCTTTCAACTTTTATTCCTAGAGGTCGTCTGACGTGAAATTTGAGAGTAATGGAAGAAAGAGATGTAGTTGAAAATCAATTTATCATAGAAAAACGAAGCAGACTCAATGCCTGAACTATAAATTATTATCATATCATACTTGCTCATCATTTCGAAATCAGCCTCATTTTATCATATCTCCTTAGGAAGTTTAATTACGAAACTCCTAGAGAACATATTCCATCTATCATAATATGAATTAAATCAAAATAACTCTGAAACGGACTTTGCCTCCTAAATGAGAAATCCGCTTTTCATTTGAGACCATTTCGCATCGCTCTGTTCTAATTAAATCTGTACGGATATCTCTGCTCTTTCATGAACTGTCTTCTGAATGAGATAAGTGATTACTTCCATTTCCACTTGTGAGTATTTCCAACGAACTACTATTTTGTCAAAAAACAGTACCGGAAATTGGTCGAAAAAAAAGTAAAATATGTATTATTCATCAAAATTCATTGTATTTCCTTCACAGTACGCCAATGAACAACCAATCATGAACATTGTTTGGAATCGACAATTACATTTTTTCTATATATTTTTTTCTTTCTACAGAGTAATAAAAACAACTATGGTGGACATAAAAAAATCTACAGGCACCATTCTGAGGCAGGCAAAGAAATCGACAGTTGGTAAATAAAAATTACTGAATACCATCGGAAAGGGAAAATTTGCAAAGGTCGAGTTGCTCACCAGTGAGGTNCATCCACTTTTTGGTCGATCTTTGACACTTCCAGTTTCATGAAAACTGGAAGAAATGGTTTCCCGATTGGCATGCAATCCATTAAAAATATCCACAAGTTGGTCACAACTTTACCGTATTCTATGATAATTCAAATTTCAATACGCTCAGTATCAGTTAAATATACCATTTTTGCGCGAAAATTATTTACACTAAATGTATTTTTGACATGTGTTGTCAAGATCATCACTTTTAGACAAAGAATGACGCGGTTTTGTTATGGAGCTGGAAACTTTCAATATGAAACTTGCTGGACTATGAACTTAATGGACTAAAACATTTTTGGATAATTTATTACAAAGTTATTTTCAAAATTTGATATCTCGAAAATGGTTGAATTTAGGAAATGATGTACTACATCAATTTTGTTAAGAATTTAAAATATAGGGTGTTCCAATAAAGAAAAAGCAACTTTATTCCTCCAACTTTTTGACCGATCATACTTAATTTTTCCGCCACACGTACCTATGATTTTGTAGGTATGTGTGACAGAAAGCTGAAAAACCATCAGACATCTGTGCAATGTCTTTCATTTGAAAATTCGTCGCAAGTAACTTTCTATGTATGAAAAGCTGAAATTAATTTCATTCAGTTGAAACGACCACCGATATACTCTTACCTAGAACTGTGAAATTAATAGGAGAAAGATATTTGCATACATCGAACAACGATTATCTAATATTTCTGATTCATTGAAACATTTTTTGTCTCATATTGCTCATTGGCAAAATGCATAATTCTGTATGTCATCTTTCAACTTTTATTCCTAGAGGTCGTCTGACCATACCTCCAGTTGTGTAATGAATTGCACGTTAGAAGGTCTATTTGACGTGAAATTTGAGAGTAATGGAAGAAAGAGATGTAGTTGAAAATCATTTTATCATAGAAAAACGAAGCAGACTCAATGCCTGAACTATAAATTATTATCATATCATACTTGCTCATCATTTCGAAATCAGCCTCATTTTATCATATCTCCTTAGGAAGTTTAATTACGAAACTCCTACAGAACATATTCCATCTATCATAATATGAATTAAATCAAAATAACTCTGAAACGGACTTTGCCTCCTAAATGAGAAATCCGCTTTTCATTTGAGACCATTTCGCATCGCTCTGTTCTAATTAAATCTGTACGGATGTCTCTGCTCTTTCATGAACTGTCTTCTGAATGAGATAAGTGATTACTTCCATTTCCACTTGTGAGTATTTCCAACGAACTACTATTTTGTCAAAAAACAGTACCGGAAATTGGTCGAAAAAAAGTAAAATATGTATTATTCATCAAAATTCATTGTATTTCCTTCACAGTACGCCAATGAACAACCAATCATGAACATTGTTTGGAATCGACAATTACATTTTTTCTATATATTTTTTTCTTTCTACAGAGTAATAAAAACAACTATGGTGGACATAAAAAAATCTACAGGCACCATTCTGAGGCAGGCAAAGAAATCGACAGTTGGTAAATAAAAATTACTGAATACCATCGGAAAGGGAAAATTTGCAAAGGTCGAGTTGCTCACCAGTGAGGTGAGTTCATGCCAACAAAACTAAACTTACGCCTTATTCTCTACAGAAATTATATAGAGAAGCAAGAATAATGAAAAAGTTAGACCATCCAATGATAGTGAAATTATTTCAAGTGATCGAAACGAAAAACTTTTTACCTGGTCGTGGAAATTTGCATCAGGAGGTAATATGTGTAATTATCGGGCAGGCCAGGATAGCATGTAAGAAAATTATATGAGGGCGAAATGTAAGCAAACTGTCTCTGGGGTACAGTCACCGAAAAAGGATCGTTTATAGAGATTTGAAGACTAAAAACATATTGCTGGATGGTAAAATGAACATTGAAATTGCGGATTCTGGATTATTAAACGAATTTACTCCTGGAAAAAAATTGGAGACATTTTGTGGAGCTCTACTCAACAATATTCTACATATTCTACATACTCTTCATTTCTGGGCATAAAATATGATGGACCTGAAGTATTTGTATAGTCATTAGGTGTCATATCATACAAGTTGGTGTCGAACACTTGTCCCTTTGAAAGTTCGACATTTCGAAAACTTAGGGAGTAGGTGGTTTATGGCGAATAGCAGATCCCTTCTTGTATGATGCCAGACTGTGTAAGTCTCCTGAAGAAGCTTTTGGTTCTGCATCCCACCAAAAGGGCAAGCTGGATGAACCGAGAGTATGAAAATAAAGAAATTGAAAATTGTCAATGAGTCATCATTGAATAGTATCTATCACCAGTAATGAACCAAAATACCATGAAATTTTATAAAACTGAATAGTACCAATTTGTCTTATAACTCAAACCCTCTCCCCATTACAGGCATGTGTGAATATTGTGAAAAATTGAAGTCGGAGTGAATTACATAAAAATAATTCAATGTATATACAAGAGACAAAAGTTTTCCATAATCAGGTGAGATTTTCACTGAACAGTTTGCAAAACCGCAACACGTGTTCCACTATACCATTGCTTTCTCAGTGGTAAAAGTCATGTTGCAGATTTGTGAAGTGTTACTAAAATACATCATGAATTTTCATCAAGTATAGTCTATCGATTCCCAATTGGAACGGCAATGAAAATAAAGTACAGTCANATGGAAAAATTAAGTTATGTAGTTATTATACTTACTCATCTTAAAACAAAGTTGGCTTCACTACTTAGATGGCCATGACTTCAAATCTAGATGTATTTTCAATGCTGAACAACATTTTTGAATAACATTTCCCGAATTTTTTCAAAATAAGAGTACTTTACTCCTGTCTCAAAATCAAATATTTGAAGGCTCCTCGTAGATTACGTGTGTTTCACGGTATTTTGTTGGTGCATGTTTAGTTTTAGGGAATGCACAAAACTTTAATCAAGAATAACATTTAGTCGAAAAATCCTTAATAAATAAGTTTTCCATATGATGCATACTTTGGGGATGACACTGTATATTAGAGAAGCCAGAATAATGAAAATGTTAAACATCCGAACATAGTGAAATTATCCCAAGTGACCAAACCTCTTTCTTTCATTGTTCTCAATGTTGAAATTTTACGCGATAAAGTTCATCTAGATGTGGTTTTCTAACGTGCAATTCATTTAATAGCTAAATGTATGGTGAGACCTCTTTTCACGCCACATATTCCTAGAAAGAAAAGTTGAATGATAGTTTACAGAATTGTGTATTTTGCAAATGAGTAATATCAAATGTTATGGGGAATGTTATAAATTAATATACCCCTGAATGCTTCAACATATTGAGCCAACAAAATAAGCAGAAGAGCTCAATTCGCATGAACAATTTAAAAATTGTAAGGTGTTTGTAATAGAATTGACCGGTAGGTATATATTCAAAATTACTCGCTGAACTTGAACATGTAATTCCTTATTTTCAAATTCCGGATCCCTGTCGATTGACACAGATTCCTCACACGTAATGTTATCATTTGTTTCAAAAGGTCTCCAGGAAGCCATATTGATAAATACCCCCAGTCCGATGCCTCATAATATTATCCTAAATGCGGCGGTATTTTCGCATTCTTTGTCGGTGTTTTCGCGTTCTTTGTCGCATATCCATATTTTAATGGCTCGTTAGCGGCATCCTCAAGGGATATAAGGGGTAGACATATCTCAATGATTTTGTGGGTGAATTGCAGTGCTATTTGCTTGAGACGACTATGTTGCTTTCTTTGATGTAGCGACATGTTTTCATTCTTGAAATTCTTTTACTCTCAGACAATACTGAACGAACTATAGGGGTAAGTTTACCTAAGGAGTAATGAGTACCAAGTCTACGAAGAAACAGGATTAAAAAATACCATTAGACACAGCCTCATCTTTATTATCTGTGATGCTATCCAAAACGATGATGACGTCTGTTTGAAGGTGGTTGACAATGTTTCATGGTGCATTTCATCAGTTCGGACTTCCATTATCTGATGTAATATAAATTGATTTGAAATCCCTGAAAGAATCTGTAAAAAAATACGTGAACGATACTTTCATAATATGGAACCATGGAAATGCAGAACTAGACACTTTCCTGGAGCACATCAACAACATCACTTTCACAATGGAAAAGGAAGTCCACAACGAATTTCCATTCTTAGACGTATTGGTGAAGAGAATCGACACTAAATTGGAAACATCTGTATATTGAAAACCCACTCACACGGGACAGTATTTGAACCAGGAATCCAACCACCATCAATCGACTAAGAGGGGAATCATCAAGAATCTACTAGACCATGTTTTCGGGCTCTGTAATACAAAGGAAGGTCTCGAGAAGGAACTAGGCATCATCAAAAATGACCTTCAACGGAATGGTTACTCCGGAGTGATGGTAGAACAAGCTTTAGCTAGAAGACTGCAAGAGCTCCACAAGGAAGAGAAGCCACCACAACCAGTACTTGTACTTCCCTACATCAGAGATTGTTGGAAATGATAAGAAAGATCGGGTCCAAGTATAACATCAGGACGCGGACTGCGATTCCAAGAATTATATTTACCGGATACCCTGCGAGTGCGGAGAATCATACATCGGTGAAACTTAGAGGTCATTGAAAGTCCGCTTTGCTGAGTACAAGAAACACACACAGCGAGGAGAAACCAGCAAATCCGGAATAACAGAGCATGTTTGGACTCATCAACATAACATCAAGTGGGCTCAAGCTGAAATCATCCACAAGGAGGAAAACTGGTTTAGGAGAAAATTCAAAGAAGCCGCGTATATGTTGTTCAACAACGCATTTAGCCAAGCTAGCATAGAGATACGTAACATATGGAAACCTCTAATCGAGCGGAACACGACCAACTGCCGCCAAACGGTCATCTCCTGCCAAAACCAATGAAGCGGTGAGAGGGAAGAGGGGATGTAATAAGTCCAGCTATCACCCGAAAACGATTGTGGATACTAGCAATCGAAACGTCGTGAAGTAACTTGGTTTGGAATCTTTTAATTGTTAATTTTCATTTCTTGTTGATAATCATTTTTTAATTTTCAGCTCCTGTTAATAGTTCATTTTTTTTTGGTTTGTTGGTTGTTGCTTGTATGTTATTTCTTTGTAATTTCAGTTTTTTTTGTTTAATAAAAACCGTTATTTTCAGCTAATCTTTTTAACTTTTCCACAGATTCTTTCAGGGATTCAAAATCAATTTATACTACATTAGACAATGAAAGTCTGAACTGATGAGATGATGATGTCTCTTGTCCCGAAACTCAATTGAGGATAGTGAGTAATTTTCGTATGATTCAATGTTCATATGAAATTAGTTGTTTCGAAAGAGCTTTTCTCTTCCAGTATGTATCTCAAAGAAACTTTATAGAGTTTTTATTGTAGTTATTTGGTTTCTTCTTATCTTTGAAAGTTTCCTCCATTTTTTGTTTAATGAGAGAGAAGTAGAAAGCCAAAACTTTTTTCCCAGAAAAATAATTTCTATTGAAGATATTCTTCTCTTATTTTGAACATTCATATTGAACTTGGGATACAAATAGGTACAATAACCTAGGTAAAATCCAAGGTAAGCATCAACTAATAAGATTTCTCTGAGGATACACTACAAAAACACGGTTTTGTCTATTTTCCACGATATTTCTTTATTGTTGACTAGTTTCGGCTATTACACCATTTTCAAAACTAACTGATTACATTTTGAAAATGGTGTAATAGCCGAAACTAGTCAACAATAAAGAAATATCGTGGAAAATAGACAAAAGTGTGTTCTTGTAGTGTATCCTCAGTGAACATGAATTTCCACCAAATAAACAAGTCGTCAATCAAAGAAGTAATGAGATTTCTACAAATTAAAACACTTTCTCCTATACTATTAAATAATGAGGATTGCGAACAAACACTTGAAAATAGCACGCCCATTTGTTATTACACAATATTTCACACAGTTTTTTGAAGTTCTTATAAAAATGGAAAAAGACAAAGGAAGAACATTAAATTTAGCATACTATTTGTGGAAATAATTAAACATTAACAGATATATCCACAGCTGGTAACTGGTAAAGAAAACTTTCTGATATTCAACTGTTTTAATTTGAATTATTCATTGCCATAATTATTTCATATCAATTATATTACAAATAATTTTGAATTTACAGTTGTGATTTAACAGTTGTTCATGTTTTATGGTCAAATAGCGTAAAATGATTCTACTAAAAATACTTTTCCTGCATCTGAACAAAAAACTGTCCTTCGCACGCGTTTCGCTAAACAGCTTAGCATCATCAGAATCATCATCTGGTGCGGAAAGTGTCTTTAATCGATAGTCCAAGTATTTTTGTTTGATTGAAGATTGAAAATGATTCGATGCACTCTAACTTATTATTATTTCAAATGCATAATTATTGAACTGATTAAATCAACCGTTGTATGGTGTATGAAGATTGGGATACAGTCCTCCCTTACTCCCTTGATATTCTCTGTTATGTCCATTATTTGGACTGGATCCAAACTGGCCAATATTACCATATCTTCCAGTATTACCAGATGTAGATTGCCCTCTATTTCCATTCTGCCAATCTCTATTTACTCCAAACGCATTACTGGGAAATGAAGTGATGTTTGGTTTAGGATGACTTCCACCAATTCCTCCGTGAGGATTTCCAAATTGCCTTCCATTTCCATACATATTATTATTGTTCAGACTGAATTGTTGAGTATTTCCTTGGGCTGGGTTTGGATTGATTGGGCCATTGTAACCAAACCTACCATTATTCGGATAAGTCTGGCCTCCACTTCCATATCCACCAATGTTGCCAGAACTTGAAACCCCATTTTTATATCCAGTGTTATTTGGTCTGAACTGATTGAAATGTCCAATTCTTCCATTATTTGTCACTCCACTGTAATTGGGTGATTGTGGTGCAGGAGTTCCATAAACCCCGTTTGGGTTGTGATTAAACTGATTTCTATTTCCATAATTCATATTATTAGGATATCTGATTCCGGTATTACCAGTAATTGGCCTTCCGTTATGAAAAGTGTTAGTGTTATTTGGTTTTGATTGACCAAAGTTTGCATATTCTCCGTTAGCACTTGATGGATATGTCTGTCTTCCATTTCCATATACTCCGTTACTAGGAGAAATTGAACTAGGATTTCTATTTATACCAGTATTATATGTTCCTGTATATCCTACATTGGTACTTGGATTGGATGTTCTTTGATTTCCATATCCTTGATATCCATTTCCACTACTGGGATTTGGGTGGTTCCAGCTCTGACCTCCACTTTGATAACCTTTTGTTCCACCATAACTATTTTGACTGGTGTTATTTTGGTAGGATCCATTCACATTGTGGTTAACAAAAGTGCCAAAAATCAAGAAAAAAACTAACAATGAGTTCATGATGTAACCAACTCTTGTCTTTGACAAAGTATTATTTGTCTGAAGAAGTGAAAATTTAACGAATGTTTACATTTCCATATCAAATCACATGCGATATTGATAATAGAGGTCAATTTCAGACATAATGCGCCGTATTTATCTATGGATATTTGATGTCATATTTGATATTGAGTGGCCAAAACATTGACTATTTACATTGCCATGAAAAACCTCTCAGCTTAGAACTGGGATAAGACAGTCTAATATGTATTTAGTGATTATGAACTTTTACATAATTGTTTTGAATTTTTTTTTACGTTCAGAAATGTTAAAACTAATGTTTAAATTATTCAGCAATGTATTAGTTAACCGTAGAAGACTGATGTATTAGAGTTGGATTTTTTAAATAAAATGACATATATTGCTTTCTGAATTTGTATTTCGTAAGAAAATAAAAAAAAATATGTAATTACAACGGTTTATACAAAGTGGTTCACAAGTTTCCAGAAATAACGTCAAAGTGCTGATCTCAACATGTGACCTCATCTTCAACGTAAACTCATTTGAAGAATCTGTTATGTTATGAAGATATCGAACAAAAATTAAGCCACAATTCTTTGCTGAAATAGGATTAAAAAGATTTATTCATATTTTTAATGGAATTTTTTATTCAATACGTAATTTCTCCGTGATTTTTTTTTAAATATAGGGCCGAACAGCTAATCAGCGGTTCAAAAGTTATAACTAAAATAGTGTCAAAAAATGTATTGTTTTTAACATTGAACGTCTCCGGGAAAAGTTTCGGAAACAACATTTCGGATTTCAAAATAAATTAGTAGATTTTTAGGTGATCAAATATTCTGGGAGTTTCAAGAAAAGAGATTTATGTGATGACAGTATGTTCAGGTAGCTCTAGAAAATGTGAACACATAAAAATCATAAAAATTGGTAAGAATTCTAGCCTCCTTTCCAATGAAATAATAATGTAGAATCTATGAGTTTTATTGATTATTACATCATTACATGTAAACATTTACAGAAAAATGTCTGTAAATAAAATTGTGTTGAAAATGTGTTTTATTTTTATAGTATGATCAGAACCGCTAGATATACTCTGTATACCAAGCTTATTTAAATTACATTTTGAAATTTATTGCGTTTCCATTAATACCGCGAAATTCGAAAAGATAAAAATATCCTAATTTGGTTTCATGTTCCTTTTAGAATAATTTTAAATAATAATAAACAAAAACACTTTCTCATTGCCAACGAATGGCATTTCGTTGAATCAGCTCAGTGAAAAGTTATTCGAAGTCAAAGTTGAATTCATTCATAATTCAGCTGTTTTTCTGAATGATTTGGCAAAAATATTATGTTCAAAAAGAATGTTGCTCAAATATTTTACAAAATACTAATCACACTTCTGAAGACTGTATCAGGTTTTGAAAGTCAACTTAGCCAACTGAAACAAATTCCGAAATTTGATGTAATGACATCTGAACCCTGTGCTGCACTTGATCGATCAAAAGTGACACATAGAAATGCCACATCTATTTTACCTGCTGCATACTAAAAGTGTAGGAATTGATCTGTCAACTATTGATTTGCGGTACAATTTACGGAGCTCGAATTTTCGGAATATCAAGTAGAGTGGAGTTTTATTATCATTATTTACCGAGGGTGAGACATATTAATTCTCGTTAGGGGAATGGAGTAAGTAATAGCAATTTATCAGGTTAGTAGTGAAAAAAAGTTTTTTATTGTATGAGATCTGAACTCACGGGGTAAAATTTAGGTGCATTATACGACAAGCAGAGGGTGGAGATGAAATACTTGTGTTTGGGGATGACTGAAACTGAACTGTTCCGTGTGGTAAAACTATTTATTGTTGAGAATGTTCTAAGCCTCTTCAGTAAGTAATCAGTTTGACGAGATATCAAAACTTTTATGTGTGTTAGTGAGTAAATGCAGAGTTTTAACTTTCTCAACTTCTAACCATTCTGATTATTGCATGAATGAAGATATATGGTCATATTTCCGAATACCAAACGAAAAACGTAAACATCTATTCTGAATACGCTGTAGACGAAAAGCATATGATTGTCTTAAAGTAGGTCCATAAATACTGTTGCAATAAGAAATTTTTGACATGATCAGTAATTCGCATATTCTCAGTTTCAAGGTTATGTTGACTGCATATCCGAAATTTGCCCAATTCCTCGTATAAGGAAAGAAATCTTTCACGTATAGTCAGTGGGCATACTTGAAGACTAGCTATGAATCAAATCATCTAAGAGAACAATTCGTTCAGGCCAGTCTCAACACCCTACACTGACACCTGTCGGATATAATCCAACGCCCTTCGTGGTATTAGCCAGGGGAGTAGTTGTTTTCTGATAGGTGTCAGTCCATTAACCTACTGTGTAGGGTGTTGAGACTGGCTTGAACGAATTGTTCTCTTAGATGATTTGATTTATAGCTAGTCTTCAAGTATGCCCACTGACTATACGTGAAACACAAAATCTCGTGATTATTAGTGTCGAAGGCTACAAAAAGATCGTCGGTAATTGACAGAAGAGCCGTGGTGGTACTATGCTGAGGTCTGAATCCTGATTGAACGGATGTAATATAATTTTCAATTACTTAATTATTATTGATTTGATTTTTCAGTATCAATTCTACTACTTTAGAGAGACACGGGAGAATTGTAATTGGTCTCAGGTCAGAAAGGGCTGTAGGTGAGTTACACTTAGCCAGAGGGATAACAAATCCATCCTTTCAAAATTTTGTAAATTGGCAACTCGTTATGATCGAGTTTATGGGAAAGGTGAAGTGATTTATCAAAAAAAGAGTCAATGAGATTAATCATTTTGAGGGATAACCGGTCTAAACCCAAAGCGTTGCTCTTCATGTGTCTTAGGGAGCTTTGCACCATCTCAATGTAACTGTGGTAAAGTGAAAGGAATATTCAGATTCTTTCAAATCAACATAACGATCTAATAAGAAAAGTTGGTGAGCAGATCTGATAGGTTGAGGTATGGAATTGGAGTGATGGTTAATGAGATTGACGTCATTTAATTCATCAGGAATATCTGTATTTTTATTATTCCTCAGGATATCAAGAGTCCTTGAAGTATTCCAAGTTGATTTGGAGTTTTCATTTCGTAAAACGAAATCAAGATTTTCTTTTTTTTTTCACGTCGTATTGCACTACATGTATAATTTCTGAGTTCTTTATAACTAATCCAATCGTTAATGATTTCTTGTATTTCTCAGAGCTCGGTTCTTGAGTGAAATCATTATCTTTATATTGTAAGTTAACCAAAGTGCCGGAGGTTTAGTTACTCTCTTCGTTTGACAAAGGGCGTGTTTTTCAAAAAGACTGAGTATGTTGTCGTTTACGAAGGAGACCATGTAGTCCACATTATCGAATTGATAGATGAGATCCCACTGAACATTCAAAACGTGTGAGTGAAAGGTATCAAAATCTTCTGTTCCTTCTTCTAGGAGGAACAGAAGTACTGATTTTGCACAACACTGCCAGGTGGTCTGAAATTTCCTGAATATCAGTCATATCTGCATCTGATATTCTTTCCTTATAACGAGGATAATGTCAATAAGGGATTGAGAGTGAGCCGTTAATCGGGTAGCATTCTTGATGAGCTGAAAAAGATCGAACGAATTTATAAAATCTGTAAGAAGTTGAGAACGTCGGTCGGCCAGCAGAAAATCACATGAAGGAAGTAGCTTAGCCACGCTGTCTTCGAGTTCGTTTAAATACTGAAGGGAGCCGATATAATATTCCAAATGCGAGAGTTTTACATCTGTGGATTGTTGAGATCCACAACTGTTCAAGATGGGAACGTATTTGACTAAAGATTGTTTTAAATTTGATAGAGTAATTGATGTAAAAGGCGACGTCACCCCCTCTGTCAGTTCTGTCGGCGCGGACTAACTGATAAGGGTCCATTTCAATGGAGCTAGAGTATATTGTAGGAGAGAGTCAAGTTTTAGTGACACCAAATATATCAATATTTTCATTTGAAATATATTCCGAGAGCAAATCAAACTCTGTGAATAATGATCTTACATTTGAATGTGCAAATTTCAGAATTTCAAACATTTACGGATATTATCCCGACTAAACACACAATTCTGGAGGTACTTCTTACGGAGGGATGATACTTCTTACGGAAAATGAATATTTGTTGACTTAGTATTTTATATAAATTATACTCGTATATGCATTCAAAATGAGAGCTAACAAATGCAATGAAGTAATTGAGTTATTTGTAATTTCGATCAGAAGTTGTAGGTACTAGATCTTAGGGGGTCCTTTTATATGCACTTCTTGCAGAAGAGGGCGGCATCCTCGCTTCCATTGCAGCTGACTTGCAGGAGTTCCGGATTAGACTAGATATCAGCCAAACTGTGGAATTATTAATATCAGCTATTTCGATAGGTACTTCATAAAGATGCCTTAGGAAAGTGATTCACTTTTGTTTTCTTTTTCGATACCAAAAACCAACAAAGTATCTCGCCGATTGTACAAGTAGGTACGACTTTCTTCAAATTAATATTTTCTTCTTCGAGGAGTGGTATTTTATCATTGATACCTAGTAATTCAGATTTAATATCGGCAAGCGTAGTTTGTAATTTATCAAATTTCTCGTCCAGATTCTTCAATAGATTATAAATAGCAGTTAATGAAAGGTCAGTAGTATTGGTCATTGTTTACACCAATTATTGTTCTAGCCGCAGTGCTAATACAGAACGTGAGCTCATCAGAGGTGATCGGTTTTGCCGTTTTTGTAAAACAAAATTGTTTTTGTTGAAGTTGGGGTTAGATTCCAATGTAGGAAGTAATTGTTATGTTAGCGCTATTCAACATCTGGATAAAAGAAGTTGCTAACCGCGGAGAGGCTGGAAGCACTAATTTCCAAATACAGATTGATGAAAGTTCGAAGATTTTGGTAGAATTTGAGTATTTTTCAAATGCAGTTCACACAGACGTGTTTCATTCGACAACGTTCATTCTAATTTTTCGACTTTAATCTTGATATTTCGACTTCAATATCGAAAATTTGACTTCAAACTCGAAATTTCGAGAATTTGAGTTGTAATTTTCAAGAAACAAATACTTAAAAAAAACGTGGCCCTGTAGGTTTTAAACTACTTTTGAAAAAGCGTTTTTGATTGAAGTTTTTATTAATTCTTTTCTATATTTTCTAAACAAAATCATCTAAACAAAAACATCTTCTAGCAACACCTAGTATACTCCATTTGAAGGAAATTGTAGGGCACTACAGCCCTTCTGCGCTACTGTAGTAGATCGAGTATTTCGTCGAAATGTTTATTTAGGGAGGGGTTCAAGTGATTCACCATGGTATTTGTATGCATCTTGCTTCGACCCAATTGTTGTAGGCGGGACTATATCGAAATTTAGAAAGCATTTACTACATTGGACAATCTGTATATGACGGATTGACCTAACTGTAAATTCTCTTCTTCTTAATTACTGGTTATTTTTTCAACTGATTCTTATTATGAATGATTTTTTTTGGAAGATTGGTAACCTTCAAGGAATTTTTTATTTTTTATAAAAAATGAAAAAGATATCAATGAAACCTACTTGAAATCGGTGTCAGTGTAAGGATAACCAGTAAGAACCCAGCCTCGTCTGAGACAATCTTCTTGAAGGATTCGTTCATTTATAACTTGGGAAAGGAGTTCAGAGTGGAAACAAACTTCATTTCTGCAGTTTCTTAGCTTTTCACCAATATCCGTAGATGATATCCATGATTGACATATCAAATACTCAAAATCTACATGGACGATATTCAATGAGGAAGAAATCAGTTTAGCTTGAGTTTTTCTACCTAAAAAACGAATATCAAATTCAAAAACTGCAAATATATTTTCCTAACATTGTTGATAATATTACTATTTTGAAAACCATCAGACATATTAGATACAAATTAAAAAAAAAAATAAAAAAACATTGCAAACAACAAAAATTTTCGAGACAACACCAACACAAAACGACATGAAACAAAACGAATGGCTTAATCTGTGATTCACAGATTCGGAAATTTTGGTTGGTTGGTTGTATGCAATGTTTTTAATTTTTTTTTAAATATGTATCGAGTATGTCTGATGCTTTTCAAAATTGGTATATCATCAACACAAAAAAGACTACTTCTCGAACCCCGAAGAAGAATTCAATTAAATTAGAAACTTCGAAAAGAAAACAATTGTTTTTTCAAGAAAAAATTGATCCTGTAACCCAACCAACTTTTTTTCAGAAAAAATATTGTATCACTAAACTTGTTAATCTTTCTTATCGTTGAAATATCTAAAAGTTGTTTATTTCCATTTCATTTATTCAAAAGTCCAAGATTAAATTTCTGTTTGTGGTACTGCCATAAAATCGATATTGAATACCATGAAAACTTTACAGAATGAAAGAGATAAAATATCTTGCCATTCCCAGAACCAACCACTGAATTATACTGATCTAGAAACTTACTGGACAAAGATTCATTGTTAAAAACAAAGGTAGGTATTTTCATTCATTTTGACAAATCATTAATATAAATATTCGACTAAGTTTTATACTGTATATTCTGATTCTCATGACCACCTCACAAGAATATCAAATCATTTGAAAACTTTTCCAATAGAAAGTACGATCGGTAAAAATTCATGGTAGAAATACATCATGCTTTTCTGAAATAACAGGTTGCTCGAATACATAAAGAACATCAATTCTGCCATTAGGTTCAAGAAAACCGTTACATCATTGATTTAATGAACGTGAAATATTTTTGAACATCGTCTGTTTCTTCTGAGTATAATTTTTTTAATTATTCAAGTAACACTTCCAAGTTAAGTGCAAGTTTGATACTGATACTGACAAAAAAATCACTGTATCCCCTCTAAATGTGAATGAAAATTGAAAGTTTTTATCACTTCTGTCAAGAAAATTACAATCATTTGGCTAAACAAATGGAAGAGTGGTAATATTATATTAGTTTTCTCGATCTCAAACATTAAAATTCCAGCTTACTTTTCCTTCACAACTTTTTTCATTTCATAGATGGTGATAGATCGATTTTCTTATTTTATTGTAGTTACTACAACTATACTGATGAAACCATTCATTCATGATCTTTATCTTATAAAACTTTCATGTATAATGAATATTTTTCTAACCTGACCCTCTAGGTCCCACTATAATTACTCTTGGAACAATGGGTTTCAGAGTTTTGCGAATTTTCAGAAGTTCAACGCAAGATGCAGCAACCTCAAGTACCTGCCGATGTTCCAAATAGACTTCTCTGAGAGATGATTTGAAAATATCTCTCAGTCCACTGATGATCCTTCTCATTTCTGGCCAATTTGGTCGCACTTTACAGTACAAGAGATCCGCCAAGTTTGGATGAAATGGAGCTATGAAGTGGATGGTGTGTGTAGGTATAATGCCAAGTTGAAGTAAGTTTTTAGCGTCATCTTCATTGCGGATGCAATCCACTATTATCCATCCTGTAATGAAAAATACATATTTCCAATGAAGTATATTCAATGCAGAATACTTGTTTTTTTGAAAACCTGTATTAGTATATAACCTCGAACTCATAAAATACAAGATTAACTTGCAGTTGTATTTGATAACAATAATAATATAATAATGATGATAAATTTGGAAGGGATGAATATTTCGATATTTTATGTCGAAATATTTATTTTCTAGTATTTATGTATCTCTCCTCGATAGAGTCTTCAGACATGATGCGATCTTTGTAAGAGTATTGGTACATGGGATGTTTCTTTTCCGCTTGGGGACCTGTTACTAGTTAATCCCAGAAGCTTTGCTGTTTGGGTCGGATCTTTCCTGCACTGATGAGAGATAATACCTTGAAACCGTTTGTAGGTGATCTACTCGTAATTTTAGCATGATCCTGCTGCTAGATGAACAAAAAACATCTGCGAGACTAACCACTGTGCATGAGGTATCTTGCTTAAATGCCTGTCAGATATAATATACATCATGGTATTAGCCGGGAAAGTAGTTGTGTTCCGGCAGGCATTTACCAGAACCTACGGTGTAGGTAGTTGAAAGAGGAATATTTCCAGATTTCATTACGAAATATTCATTACGTAATGTACTTATTAATAGTACGTAAATGTATCTCTCATCGATAGAGTCGTCAGATATGGTTTGGTAATAAAAATAATGATACAAGTAAGTTCAAACGTATTTTAACAATGGAACCATATGCGCGGTATGCTGAAAATATCAAAATATTCCTGTATGCGAAATATTTTGAACAATCCTTTTTGGGCCCTAGTTTCAACTAGTTGCTTAGCAGTTGAAAGGCAGAGGAGGATGGTTGTTTGATGATCGATGTCGAAGCTTGGCTTTGTAACCGACCGCCTTGGGGAGCTTCGTTCATCTTCAGGTGAAAGACACCTTACCCCTTGCTTCTCTCGTGGTCCCACGACATTGTAGATACGGACAGATACCCGACGGAAAAACAAGAGCTAACCCAGCTAATGCCGCGCATGAAGCTGAAGTAAAACCATCAGGCATCTGTGCAACGTCTTCTATTTGGAAGATTCGTCGCAAGTAACTTCCTATATATACTTTTTTATTATCGATTTCTCAGAAAATTTTATTACACCATACAGTATAGGCCAAAAAATATAAAGTTCGTTCAAGAGTAAAGTACCCTTATTTCAAAAAATATAGAAATATGTTGGAGAGAAAAGTTGCTT